CTATCATCTGTATCAATCGATCTCCGCGAGCTACTTCATCGTTACAGTGTAGTTCGCTGCGGACGGTTGGGCGTGTCAGTGCGGCTGCGTTTGGCGCGGTGCCAAACTCGTTCTCCACCAGTTGTTGAAGCAAGTGACAATACTGTATCATATCCTTCGTATTACTCGTTTTCTACCACTTTTTGTCGCATGCGCGCTTGAACAAGAAGGCAGAGAACGGCTTTGACACACTCTTACTAGAGTGTACCTGCTTCAACAAGTGGTGATGGACTTGGCAGAAGAAACTGGCGAGCTGTAAAAAAAGTACTGGAGTGCTCCCCCCCCCTCCCATCCCACACGGCGGCGCGGGAAGTAAAGCAAGAGAGCAAAAGAGAAGACGATGGCTGTTTTACCATTCTTATTGGCTTTTATTTGCAGGTTGTCGCGATAGGTGGATCATCATCTGTTGTATTTCTGGGCTCAAATCATGGGCGTGTTATACACATTACGAAACAAAAGACTCGCTTCAAAGTTGCTGGGAGTTTTGAACTACCTATTGTAGGGATCATTTTTTCAAACGTTTTTTTGCAGCTTTTTATTTATTTATCTTCACATGGATTCTATGCATTTTATTATTATTATTTAGAAGCATGGGATTCGACAAATTGAGTTCGCATCAGCTCTGGATATTATATTAGTGCTATTGTGATAATATTCTGTTTGATATTGAGCTTGAATCCTTTGGGGTACGTTTACTGTGTATTTTCATGAGTGGTTTTGATATGTACAATAATCTCTGTAAATGATATTTTGTGTGACGCGGCGCGTTTTGGAACGCAGCAACGGCGGCCTTGTTTCAACAACGACGTCTTCCTGAGCCCGCTACCACTTGTGAGAAATTAAACCTCGCTGGCACCACTACTCTGACCTTTCACATTCCAACTTTTCACGCATACGGAGTGGCTCATCCTCACCGGTCTCCCTTCCCTTTGAAAAACCTCATCTGGCTCGCGTCATGTTTTGTACCTCGCGATGCTTGAGTCGCGGTCTTGCTGTGCACGCTGGCCTATCGCGGCAGGACCCCCACCAAAAGTTTTAGTTGTCACGTAACCTTCCAAGCCACGCCCTCGTCGCACGCCCTTTCCTTTCCAAGGATCATGACTGTAGAATATGATCAATATGATTGTTACAAGCTCTGGTCGACAATGTCTTGTTCGCTGCGGATGCTGGCCGTGTCAGGAAGGCTGAGTTTGAGGTTGAGTTTGGCGCGACGCCAACCCGTTTTCTACCGATGGTTGTCGCTTATTCTCTTCAACAGTTAGTATGGAACTAGCTGGCACAGCGCTGAACCCAGCCTCCCTGATAACCCAAGCATCCGCAGCGGGCAGGACTGTACTGAAACATGCCAGTTGATCATATCCATGTTGAAGATTGTTTCGAATCGAACGTCGGTGCAATGTATTGCTATCAATACGAATCCAATCGTTGATGATCCATTTTGCTTGCAAATGGCCATCGCTACTACTTCCAAGCATATCCACTTTTGCGAACGACGTAATGACAAAATAGAAGTTGTACAAAAATTGAGTACAGAAGGAAACACTTCCGCAATGGCATTTTCACGGTATCCAGTTATTGCTTATCCATTCACTTTGTTCAGAATATTTGTTGAAAGGTTCTATTAAGATTGACAATCTGCTTTGCCGCGAATGGTATGTACAGTATTTACAATGTGACTACCAAGTCGGTGATCCCTTTGTTCCCGTTCGATCCACAAGTCATTCGGCCGCATATCTGCTGCGTTGACATGGTATGAGTCTTTGTTATTTTTCCTTGTACATTTTCTACGGTGATTGACTGTTGTTGATCGCTACGTTAGAGACCATCTATGTTAACCAGTCGTAGGGTGTAGGGATCAAATATGATTTTGTAAGTGCTAGTTAACCACCAGTAAGGAAAAAAAACAGCACGTTGTAAAAAAAGGGTTGCAAAGGGTCCGTTCAATTTTCAATGTTGGGCGAGCATAATGCTGAAAGACTTTTGTCAAATTCAATCTCATTTTTGTAGGAATTCCTTGTCGCGGGAATGGATGGCCTCCTCATTTCTGTTACGGATCAAGGCGTTTCTATCCGACCACCTGCAGTCATTCCATCAGTGTCGATAGATGCGATGGTGTGCTGTTCTCCTTATCTGTACATTCGTGCTTCTGACGAAATCTTGATCGTGAGGTGACTTCTTTTTCTCGCATCTATGAATAATCGCTGTGACTTAGGCAGCGTTCAGACTTCGCGACGGCAGCGCTTCGGTCGCGCGTTCGACGCGATCGATGCAGTCGAAAGCATGCGCATCGATCGCCGAACGCGCTGCCGTCGCGAAGTCTGAACGCTGCCTCAAGTTGTGTCAGAATACCTGTCACCGCTACCCTCAAAAAGAGAAGCGGTTAGATTTCCGCATCAGGGCACAGCATAGCGTTGTGTAAAAGTTTGGATAAATAGGACTCCGCACCTCCCAAATCCCCTCCTTGTGTGGGGCCTTTTACGGCGTATTTTTCCAAAGCTCTACCGTCGCACGGGGGGGGGAGGTACGTTCTTGTTCACTGCGAATGCTGGGGCGTCTCACGGGTCTGGGTTTGGCGCATCGCAGTCCGTTTCCAAGCACTTATGACTTTCCCAACTTCAATTATCGGTGAAAAACGAGTCTGCGCCACCTGAAGCTGCCCTCCTCCCAATGCGGCTTGAGGCAACGCCAACCCGAGGAGGTTGCAGGTGAAACTGGGCGGAACAATTTTTCTGTATCACGGAAACGCTTTTTCGACTCCCTTCCCCACACTGAGGCCAAATTAAGGCGCCCTTAGCTGTTTATCGCAACGAGTGCTGTGTCATGTTCCTCAAGACATCACCATCAAGCGCCTATCATGCGCACCTCGTGCGTTTGTTTTACTATCGTTGAAATGGATCGACTTCATTTACTCCACTTTAAAGGCTGTTGGCACGATAAATCCCCCAAGACGACTAGGATCAATACTCCTGGCAGGATAGAATTCCGCGACCCTGGGCAGGCTGCATAGCGGTTTCCCCGAGGAAGGTGCCCTTATAAGGGCCCTATCAAGCCACAACTTTACGTCCCAAACGCCCGCCACGCCCGCCCGCCCACAAATGGACGACCGTTCCTGACGCTCGTATTCATTCATTTGCTAAGCAAATTATGAAGCGAAGGGATTGGTATGAAGCGGCCGTGATGCTGCATGCATACATGGGTACACATATGCAGCCGTAGCGGTGATTGGTAAGATGCCTACGGGAAACTCGTCCGAAATCGATTTACAAGTCACTGAGAACGGAGGCTTTTTCTTCGCAGGATTTTGACCGTTTCACTCCGTTCTTTCGCCATTTCCCCACTATACAGCGCCCTACTAGCATTTTAGGCTAAGTAGGAAACCATCGTGCCAACTGCCTTTAAGTGATCTTGTCAGAGCGATCAGTGGTCCTGGTGACGTAATGGATCGAGCGCTCGCCGGTAAATCTGTGGTGCGGGTTGAAATCCCGCCTGTTGTCAAGACTTCCGCCTATAACTTAGCATTCTTGTGATAACTTTCGGAGCGCGGGCTGTGGCGCTGAATTACAGTTGTCATTATAAAATACTTCAGAAAGCCATTTATCTAGTCCAATCCTCTCGAAAGGAGAAGCTCATGTTGTTCATTGATTAGATGGTTTCTAAATACTTTTGCAGTCTCGGAGACTCTCGCATCGTTCAAAGCATCAAAGCTGCGGATTCTAAAGTGCTTTCCATACTTGATGGATCAGTTTTTGTCGTCAGTAATCAGATACTGCATAACGTTTCTATGATATCATTAGAAAAGCAGGTTAGTTGATAGCGATGTTCACATTTCATGTTATTTCTACGGGCGATAAGTACCAGTTCACTTA